AAATAAAATAAAATCATTGCTTATCCTTCAGAAGAGCTTTTTCAGCCTGGTTTTGCAAATTTCTACCATTTTGTTCCCTTTGTTAACCACATCAATTGTCCAGATAACTAGTATTCCACATTGATGATTCAATGACACTGTAAGATCAAATTCAAAATGGCATCCATAAATGCAATGTGATATCATTGTTCTGGTGCAGGGGATGTACAGCATATTTAGGTCTGGTAGCATTGAGCAGACACCCTTGAACATAGAATAAAGGGCAAGACAAATTTGTACGAAATTCCAAAAAACACAAAACATAGTATAGATAGAGACAGAAATGAAAGGACTTTCGTTTGCAACCCTTTTGCCATTTCAAAATACAAGAAATAGATATTACATTAAGAAAAAAATGCATGCCAAAAAGATCATTAGAGAGTTTCATACCTTGAAATGCACATTTGGATGAAATATTTTGGTTAAGAACCGCACTTGAGGAGGTTGCAGAGGATACTGCTCCGGGACAGAGAAAGCAAGCTGGAAAACGCCACCCTCAAAAGGAGTTTCAGATGGACCCTGGATACAGAAGAAAATCATGCAACAGCATAAAACAATGGACTCATCACAACAAAATCTACCTTGATCAGAGCAGTCCATTTAAATATGTTGGAATCATCACAGGCTAGCTGAATATCTGGGTCAGCTACTTTCTCTCGCTGCACCTCTTTGTATTCCTTGAAAAGCCTTGCCCTTGATGCCTGCATTCAGCACAAAACCACAAAGTTTACCCAGATAAAGTGAATTCTAAGCACATCTTATAAATAAATAAAAGCCACAAGAAACAAATGAAAATGTACATTGATGATGGGTGTCAAATTAATCATGATTATTCAATCAGTCTCAGGAGATAAATTAAGTGTCAAAATTGGAGTCTGTCTCAATGATGAATCGTGAATCAATAAAAAAAAAATGATAAAACCATAAGGATTGACATAAAAGCTTCAATAAAATGATAGAAGGTTCATCAATTACAGTTTCAGAAGCTTAAGAAGTGAGACTTCCAGCAGTGTTTCCTTTTCAACTTTCACAAATCTAACCCAAATTATGCAAAACAAAAAACAATGACTACCACAACAACCACTCTTGCTTTCAACACGAAATAATGAGAAGTATCATCATTAGTGGTGTTCCTTTCAAATTTTTACAAATCTAACCCAAATTATGCCACAAAAAAAAACAAAAAAAAAACACCGACAATAATCACTCTTGCTTTTCGACGTGAAATAATTAAAACAAAAATATTCTGAAGTAGCAACCCCAATTGCACATCTGAATAATCAAACCAACAAATAATTGTAAACCCTGCTAAACAGAAACTAACCTGCATTATGACTCAGTATACTCAAAAGCTCCGAAAAATCTGAAAAAGCCACTCAATATCTACATATATGAAGAATAGGAGAGAGAAAACATATTAAAATGGAACAAAAATTCAAACTTTCGAACAAACCATTCCAAACCCTAGACGATAGCAAAGTTCAAAACTTTTCCATCGTTTAACTCCTTGTTTTCCCGGAAACCAAACAGAGCAGGATCCTTGATGGATCAACAAAAGAACAAATACAACTATATAACTAGAAATCTCATCTCACCTGTGAAATTTCAAAAATCGATTTGAGGAGAGAGAATGACTGAAAGAAAACCCTAGATTAGATTAGGTCGTTTATGAAAGAAATAAGAGAAGGTAAGAAATATCTTGTATATTAATTGTGTCAGACAGTGCATGAGGAGACTCCTATTTATAGGAGCTTATGGTTTACAACATCATTATGTTACCTTACATAAAATAATAGAAAGCAGCCGAAAGTGAAGGAAGGCGTGCTCTGGCATCCTATCACCTTATATATATATATATAATATATTAGTGCTGTGTGTGTTTAATATATAATATATATACATATATGTTACATTAATATATATTAACAGCCCCCTCAAACTCAAGGAGGACAAACATCAACCAACTGGAGTTTGGAGACAAGGTCAACGAAGCGGTCAGGAGAATGAGCTTTGGTGAAGATATCAGCAGGTTGATCAGCAGAAGTTCCTCCCTTCGACACAGGACTCGAAAACATAAATATCGATCCATCACCAACTGCTGTTGAGCTCTGCGTCTCGGACTCGGATTTACAGTCATTGCATGATTGAAATGCGAGAGGGATTGCCAATTGGGGTTTGGAAGGAGTAGTCAAGTGTTGTTGTTGTTGTTGTTGTTGTTGTTGAAGCTCTTTGGATTGATCACATTTTGTGTCAGCTTCAGTGTTGGGATCATCGGAATTGGTGGTGGTTGTGCTGAGGAAGCGTTTTGCGAAGAACCCAGATCCCGCTACTGCTGCAGCTAACATTACTTGCCACATTGTGGTTGATCTGCAAACAACAATTGCTGGAGCATTTGGTTTTTAGAGAGAGAGAGAGAGAGAGTTTGAAAAAGTGGCACTGGGATGGGAGGTAGGTAGGTAGAATTGGGATCCTCCCCTTGAGCCCCCTCCTTAATTCCCTCCTTGCAGGGGCCTTCGGGTCCACTTTGAGGCCCAGTTTTGATAATCCGAACCGTTAATATTTTTAGATTTATTCAGTATATCATACCTGTAAAAAATCAAATTGATCGAATATCATAAAGTATGTGTTCGGAAAATTGTTTATTAAAAAATAGTTTGTAGTCTCAATTTTCTGAACGCATACTTTCTGATATCCGATCAACTTGATTTTTTACAGGTATAATATACTGAATAAATCTAAAAATATGAATGGTTCGGATTATCAAAACTGGGCCTCAAAGTGGACCCGAAGGCCCCTGCAAGGAGGGAATTAAGGAGGGGGCTCAAGGAGGGGATCTGGACTCAGGTAGGTAGGTGTGAGAGTTGGGAGGGACTATATGAGGACACACGTGTTGCGAAGGCAAGTGAGTGAGATTAACATCTCTCTATAGCATTAGCGTGGAGTCTGTTGGTGTTTTGCTTCCTTCACGTGCTTCCCGCTTTCAGCAATTTTTCAATCCTCTTCTACTTGGCGATATATTTAAGTATGGTTTTAATGATTCAAATAATTTATTTTGTTAAAAAAAAATTAAATAAATTATAATTACTGAATTATCTAATAAATGATTTTTACAAAGTGTCTAATAAAATAAATAATTTAACTGAATTATCTAATAAATAATATTTACAGAATGTCTAATAAAATAAATAATTTAAATTATTAAAATGAGATTCATGATAAATTTTAAGTGTTTCAAACAATACACTGTCTACATTTTTTCCTATTTTTGAGTCGATGGTATTATCATGTGAAAAACATTAGAAAAATAATAAAATTATATATTACACGTGATCATAATTGGGCTTAAAAGCCTATAACCTGCGCATCAAATTTTTACTCGACCCAAGCCCATAATGTCCTCCAAGGTGAGATAGCACAACTAAAGTAAAGATCAAGGTCCTGTTTGGTGTAACTGTTAGAATATATTATAAATTATAACTTAACAGATTATAGATTACAACTTTAATCAGAAGCTGTTAATCTGTTTGGTGTAACTGTTGGATTATAGATTTAAGTTGCTGAGTAGTGTTTGTTAAATAAGCTGTGAAGTAACTTTTTCGATTAACTTTTATTTTTTATTATTCACTATTTATCTACATTTCTCATAAAAAATAATAATAATATTCTATAGTCCATTTGGGTCTTTTTTTATTTTTAAAAAAATAAAAAATAAGAAAATCTAAGAGTATAACCGTGAATTAACATGTCCACAGCAGAAACTAATAATCAGAAGTAAGGGGTGAACAGTTTCTCATAATCAATTTTTTTGACTTAAAATAAGTTGTTAGAATCATTTAAAATAATTTTAACCAAACAGTCCAAAATAATTTTTTAAAAGATAGAAGCTATAAGTTAGCTCAAAAAAGCCCCCAATGTAAAACTCAACTCGTTGGTTAATGAGAGCGTGGTAGAAAATGTTTTATTTGGACATTAGATTGATATAGTTATAAAGTCAAAAAATTATTATAAATTTCATATCATTTTTTTTACATATATTTTCATAAAAAATCAATTAAAATAATCACCATGAAAAATTTGGAAAAAAAACCCCAAAAGTAAGCCCATAGTAATGCATTATATTTTTACAATAAAAATATGTTTACTTTAATAGTAAAGGCAAAATGAAAATAATGTACCCGTATACTTTTAGTCCAGCTCACTGTTGAAACAATGTTCTGAGTAAATAAAATAAATGAAACAATTCAAACAAAATAAAATAAAACTTACAGTATTTATTTTGTAGAACCGAATAAATAATTCAAAGACCAAGTCGAGTGTGTGACACTCTGTCCTTAAGACAGATTCACCCCGCTATGGTGCTTACAGTTGAGTGGCGTCTATCTCCCAGGATACAATGATCTTAACCAATTTGTAGCAGCACTCCAAAACAAATTGTTCAGCGAACCAAACCTGTGTTGTAACTCTCTGAATATTTATTCTAAAACTAAAATGAAGAATAATACACAAAATAAAATCTGGACAGCAAAGATGGGATTTTGCAAACTGATTTTTTAATCTTTAGACTGCTGGAATTATGGCTGTATTTATAGACAAAATTACACAGCCCCGAACAGGTGCTGTTAGACTGAACAGGTGCAACAAGTGTCAACAGATACTTTCTGAAATTTCAAACAGATTAATTGCAGTTATAAAACCGAATCTGTCCGTTGCATCTTGGAACATTTTTTCAAATTGTTTGAAAATTGTACCGTTAATGGAACGGTCATAAGGAACTGTTGAGGTATAAATTATTATTAAACTATTTGAATAGTTTAATCAAAAATGCTAAAGGTGGAAAAGTATCAAAAAATTGTTTGGAAATTATATATTAAACTATTTGAATAGTTTAATTAATAAATGAAGAAGTACAAACTTTAGGAAACCACTTAGAAACCCAAAAATTGAATTTAGATATAAATTAAAATCCCATAATAATTTTTATTGAAAAAATTCAAATGAATTTTATCTAAAAAATAATGTTAGACCCGAAAACGACGTCAACTTCACATTCACTCAAAAATAGTTTTGACGTTCCGTCTTCACGGGGTGACTTGCCACGCGGCAAGGAATACTTCACTTCTTCGGACCCACCCCCAAACACTTCACCTCTTTGGACCCACCCCAAAAGACGTTTGGGGCCCACTCAAAATTGGGCTAAAAACTATGCCTATATTAAACCATTTTTCCAATAATCCCCCACATGAATGGAATTTGACGGAGAGAAAATGCAACAATATGATCTAATTACAGAGAGTACAGAAATTGGAAATATTCTGCAAATGATAGGTAGCTTTTGGCTTTGAACCTTGCCATGTGAGACACTATTGGATCTACTAGCTAACCAGTGAACATGATGTCTTGAACTGTTCAACCGTTTGTGTAAACCAAGACAATAGAACTCATACAGTATATCCCCAGACACAATTTAGTTCTCATTATTGTGTTCATTTTGGCCATGAACAACCTGATCTTTCATGAGTGCTCTAGAGAATTGTAGCCCTTCACAAATCTTACAGAACCGGCTCAGTTTACACTCACATAGGTGATGCTTATGAAGATTATCCTGCCATACTCCACTAGGTTTACTTAGATATAAGAATCATTAAAATTTTACTTAAACCTCAAACGCTGCAGTTATCACTATTTCATCAAAGAAATGGGTAGGAGTTAGACTCCCTAGTGATCCTTCTGAGTCATTCACAACTCGGTTGTCCCTTTTGAACCTAGATCTTGGGATCTCCAGTCAACTAGGTTGGGTTGCCGTTGTGGTAACTCTTATTTAACAGGCTTAAGTCCTATTCCCCTCGATGAATTCTCAACTAACTCTCTTGCTAACCCTTTGGTTAGTGGATCTGCTATATTATCTTTAGACTTAACATATTGTATGGAAATAATTCCATTAGAGAGTAGTTGTCTTACGGTGTTATGTCGACGACGAATGTATCGTGACTTACCGTTATACATATGACTCTGTGCTCTACCTATAGCTGATTGACTATCGCAATGTATGCATATAGCAGGTACCGATTTTGGCCACATTGGAATATCTTCAAGGAAGTGGCGAAGCCATTCTGTCTCTTCCCCAGCTTTGTCTAAAGTTATGAATTCTGATTCCATAGTAGACCTAGCAATACAAGTCTGCTTTGAAGATTTTCAAGATACAGCCGCCCCACCAAGAGTAAAGACATACCCACTGGTGGACTTCGAGTCTCTAGTATCCGATATCCAGTTTGCATCACAGTAACCTTCAAGTACCGCTGGATATCTAGTATAATTCAGCCCAATATTACGAGTAAATCGGAGATACCTTAAAACCATTATAATTGCTTTCCAACGTTCTACTCCCGGATTACTCGTATATCTACTTAATTTACTTACTACATAAGCTATATCTAGGCGAGTTCAGTTCATAAAGTACATTAAGCTTCCAATAATTTGGGCATACTCTAATTGAGAAATATTATCCTGTACATTCTTAGAAAGATACAAATTAACATCTACAGGTGTTCTAAGAAGATGATCATCATCTTTGCTGAATTTGTCAAGTATTTTCTCAATGTAATGAGGTTGTGACAAAGCATAACCTTCTGATGTTTTGGTAATTTTCATATCAAGAATTACATCAGCAATGCCCATGTCCTTCATGGCAAAATGTTTATTCAACATTTTCTTGGTAGTTTTAATCATGTCATTATTACTACCTATGATGAGT